CACTTAGTGGATTGTCCAATATTTAGAACAATGGGTAAGGCTAAAAAACTCAGTAAGGATCTAAGGAGAACTGTAGATTTACACAAGTAAGGAAGGTGTCTTAGAGCTATTTGTATAAAGAAAAAAAGCCTGCCAATTCTAAGATCATCTGTTCAAATGTAAGTATAACTTATTCAGATATGTCAGCACTTTGCCATGGTTTGGTAGAAGACCCACACTGTCTAATGAGAGGAAATTGGTTAGGGTGTTCAGGGAAAATCAACGAACCACCAAAGCTCAAGCTTGCCATGAAGTGGAAACTGCTAGATCACCAGTGTCACTGTTCACAGTGAAACGACATTGTCATGGACTGAGATGGTGCCGACCAAGAACGAAGCCCCTTTGAGCTTGACTGAAATTTTTCGCTGCCCACATCAACAAGTCAAATGTCTTCTGGCAAAAAGGTTTATGGTCAGACAAGAGAAAGATTGACATTTGGTCACAATGACAAGAGGTATGTTTGGAGGACTAAAGATGTGTCTTTCAAACCTAAGGACACTGTACGAGCTGTCAAGCATGGTGGTGGTAGCATCATGCTGTGGGGCTGTTTTGCTGCCAGCAGCACTGGTACATTGCACAAAGTGGATGAAGTAATGAAGAAACTGTTTTTGTAATGGATACAGCCGGCTAACATTACATTTCTGGAATGACCTTCCCAAAGCCTTGACCTCAGCCCTTTTTTGAAGTTTGCCAATTCTTCTAACAAGAGTGGTCAAATATGTAGCCATGATTATACCAGAATCTTGTTAATGGCTACCAAAAGCATCTGGTTGAGGTGCAACTTGCTAAGGTTTATTTAACAAAATATTAGTGGGTATGTATGCACATATTGTATGTATCATTTTGACCCTGTGTGGATGAAAGTAAATTCAAAATCAGCTAAAACTTGTGCACCTAATTTTTCATTTTTAACCTCCTAAGACCCAAACTCTTCCATGGCATGCATTTTTAATTTCTCTTTGATATTTGGGCTGATTGGGACCTGATGAATGTAAAACCAAAGTATTACCAGATTTATTTTCCCTTATTTTTGTTTCTAAGATAAATGAGAGCCACATATGAGGATATTCATTTAAAATTTCAATATAACAGTTGCAGTATAAGTTGTTCATGTAAGTGGATATCAGGCCCTTGTAGAGCAAGATTTAGTATTTTGGTCTAAATAACCCAAAATGTGATGTCCACATATGTGGACGCCAGGTCCTAGGAGGTTAAAGTCATGAAAGATGTATGCTGTATGATCACCGTGGTCTAGAAAAAGAGCAGCCCAAAGAAATCATTAAAAGACCCACATTACCATGATGACTGTATATGTAAACTTGAAACTATGCAAATTGACAAATACTTCCTATATATTTTCATAACAGACAAAATATTTTAAGTCTTATTTGACCACTGCATCAAAGGAAGGTTTAAGATGTGCCATTGTGTCCTCTTTCTGTACAGATGTCTGGGATGAACCAGGTGGTTGCAACATGCTGGGCTTGCCTCCTGCTCTCTGCCTTCCTGTTTGAGCCCACGCTGTGTAAAGGCGGACGTGGAGGGTCCAGGGGCTCCTCTCGAGGGTCACCCTCCCGCAGCTCCACAGCAGGGACCTACAGGGGAGGAGGTGCTTACGGCGGGACCCGCTCTCGTTTCAGGGTGGCCGGCCGGACGTCACCGGTGAGGGTGGCAAGTGCAGCAGCAGCAGGGGCAGCAGTGGCGTTAACGGCAGATAAATGGTACGCATCTGCCTACCGACGCGGCAACACAGACAACTCGGAGGAAGAGCTGGATTACTACAACAGGACCAATTACTTTGATGCTCTAATGTCAGGTTCTACTCAAAATGGATCTTTTTTTTCTAAAGTAGTTTCTGTCATTATCACAATGTTTTCTCCTAAATATGGACTCTTGATGGACAGTATACTGTAGATATTTGGGTGATTTGTAGGATACATTTGTGATTGGATCTAGAACCGAAGTTCCATCCAGGTTATGATTATAATGCAGAGGACTGACTGGAACCTGCACGGGTAAGACCAGTTAGAGCGGCCACACAGGAGCAGAACAAAACAATGACAAAAGCATCACTGTACTGTACTTTTTACAGTTTTTCCAACCGGCAAACAACAGGCTGCGTTACCAGCTTAGTATTCATGGGGACATTTCACCTCTCAGACTTCATCTCTGCATATATAACAGAACTACTGTCAATTTCCACCCCTAAAGCTTAAATCTTAGTATTTCACTGAAGAACATATCAGCAAAATGCCAATGACTCTTCAGAGTCTAACCGAGCTGCTTTCTGCCAATTTTAACTACTGCCAAATTTAAAAAAAATATACTTTTAATAATATGCACAAAATAAAAAGTGACCTGTACTGCAGCTCTGTACAAATGAGAGAATCTATCTGTGTTTAAAAGCAGACTGGTGTATTAATATAAAGTTTGGACTTGCTGCAGTTCATTTAAAATATGGAAGTACAGATTATCAGCTACTTTATAACATTTAAGTTGAAAGGAACCTGGCACCGGCATTTTTTCACCCCTGAAATCGAACAGTATTAGTAATTTTTCTCTGAAATATGGACTTATTTATTTTACAGAGGAAAATACGTGTTTTTGTTCAGCTTCCAAACTCAACCAATGAAACACATTTCATTTCGTTCTTTATACAATAATTTAAATAACAGAATAAGTAAGAGTGCTGTGCTTTGGGACAGCTAGTTTTCCACAATCGTCTTTGCATTCTGAATAGTTCACTCTTTTCTAATAATGCCTGAAATTCATCTGAGATCTGTGATCATGACATGGATGAGAGGCAAACCTACCGCTGCTCTCAAAAGCGACCGGTGTCTCTGGAAGGTTTTCACGGTGTTTACATCTTCCAAAAAAAAAAAAAATTATCTACCTACAAAAGACACTCAGGAGCAACAGACTGTTCCACATTTACAAGTGCACTCTATTATATGCTACACTGATGTACATAATAATTAAAGAGTTTGTTATCACTGTCTTTATGCCAATAAATATCCTGTTTACACCACCCTGGATATCTGTCTCATGTATCCTACAAGCAAAACTGAGAAGGACTATTTAATAAATGTCTTTTATTTACAAGTCATACAGGAGTCTGGTGACTTTTTGCATTATCCACAAGCCCAAAAAACTGCACCATGTCAGTGCAGACACAGACTAATATGCTCTTGAAGAAATCCAGAAACAGTTTTTAGTTATCGTCGGTAAAATGACTCGGGTCAGTCGAGCATTACTTGACCCAGCTCTCCTTTCCTGAAGGCTCTTATGAAATCATATGCTGCTGCTGTGTAGTTTGGTATTGTGATGGTAACATTTCCTGAAAGAGACAAGGAAAAAAAGGGATTGAACCGTTAAAAGAGAAAAGTGCAACAAACCACGAGGATTGCCCGTGAATGACGGCAAGTAGTTCAAAAAAGGTACTGCAGTAGGTTAAACTGCTGATTAAAGCAAATATATGATCATCCAGTCACTTGATGCATTTAAGCATGCAGACATGATCAAGACCACTTACCAAAGTTCAAACTGAGAATGAACATGGCCACACGGCCATCTCCAAGGTTTACAGAGAATGGCCAGAAAAGGGGAAAATAGTGAGTGGCAGTTCTTTGGGTGAAAATGCTTTTGTTGATGCCAGAGAAGAATGGTCAGGCTGCTTTGAGCTGACAGGAAGGCAGCAGTAACTCAAGGAATGTTGAACACACATCACATGAAATGTTGAAGCAGATGGGCTACAGTTGCAGAAGACCACGCGGTGACCCACAGTCTTCAGATCTTGACCCAGTAATAGTAACTAAGGAAATGGCCAGTTGCATATAAGCAGTCACTTTTATTTTTTAGGAATAGTAAGATTTTTTTTCTTTACTTTACTTTTAAATATATATAAAAAAATATCTATTTAAAGCTCCTGCCTGCAGACTTGTTTTTTTTTATCCCCATTTCAAGCCTTCATGCTAAACTACAAAGCTGCTTGCAACACAGACAAGGCAGTGGCATCAATTTTGTTCCCAGTCAAAAAGCAAATAAATAAAACCAAATCACTGATAAATAAATCATTAATTACACTGTACAGAGCAGTTGTATGCATAGGATGAGCAGTGTCTTACCCACTCCAGTAATCGCTTTGACCCGCTGAGTTTTTCCAAGTTTTACAGCAATGCGTTTGAGGACATGCTGGATGTCGTCACTAGGCTCTTGGAGATCATATTTGTCCACATAACTGCACACAAACACATCTTTACAGAAAACATTCAAGAGAAAGCTAAAAAAAAAAAAAATGCACATGAACACAAAATAGGAGAAAGAAAAATTCCACCTGAACTTTCCTAGCCTGTTCAGAGAATAGAGTAAGTAGTCAGCAATGATGTCTTCACCCACTAAATGGTCCAGTATAGTTCCTGGAGAAAAACAGATTTTCAAATCATTCTGTATAAACAAGAAATCCAACTAATTTTATCATATATACACAAACTGACAATAATTATGTTAGGGGGAAAAAAAATCTGCATACCACATAAGGCCAGCTTCATGCCTGTTTCAACACTCTCAATTTTAGGAGGCAAGACTCCAGGTGTGTCTAACAGGTACATTATGGGTCGCTCACACACCTGAGGACAGCAGCAGTTATAAATACTGGATGGTTGATCAGACCATCAAAACACAAACAAAGGCAAACGCATTCTCCACACACACCTGAATTTTAGTTAGGACCGCTTTGGTTATTCCTGGTTCCCCACCTACTCGAGATGCACGACCTGAAATTAGTGTACAAGTGCAACACTCGTTAATGAGGAGGTGAAAGTTATACTGAAATCTTCAAATCAATCCACAACTTTTCTGCATTTACCCTTTTTTAGATTTGTTCTTCTCAACGAGTTAATAAGAGACGACTTCCCAACATTGGGCACTCCAATCACCATCAGGCAGTAATTTGTAATCTGAAAGTTTAACACGTTAATGTGGTTGCATTTTAAATAAAATCAATGAAGTAGGAAAATGTAACATTCAAAGAAAGCGAATTTCTTCAACATAGAAGACACTGGTGAGCAATTTGCTTCCATATTTGTAGCTTAAAGACTAAGATAGCCAATAAGGAGGGACGTGTCATTATTTTATAGGCAAAACTCACAGCATGGTGAGGATATGAGTGCAATTTCTATAGTTTTGTGGCACTTTTTCTGGACATGCCTCATATCTTGTGCAAGAAATTGAATTTGAGGTTGTATAGAAGCAGTGAGGATATATGTTCTCTGCCACAGAGCAATAAAACAATATAGTTTAACCGTCCAGACTGAATGTACCTCCTCTCGGTTAAAGCGTGGTTTGCTTGCAATAATATCCATCACCTTTGGCACCAGCTAAAGAAAAGAAGACAGAATTAGTTTGCACATCTGTGCTCATAACTTTTGCAACTTTTTTAGCTGTGTAGGAAATGGCTGCAAACAGTAAAATGTTTTTCTACCTTTTTGATGTTGTGGTCTCTCTGCTTTAAGCAGTCTGTGAAGAGAACATGTGTCATCCCTTCTTTTTCTAGCTTCTTCAGGATTCTCTGCAGAGTAAATGTAGCTGTAGTACAGTAAAATGCTGCGGACATGCGACTCTGCCAAAGCTGCTGCAAGAATTTGTACCTGCTTGTTGGACAGATCAGCGAGGTCCATCTTGTTGAGAATTAGCAAATGTGGTTTGGCACTCAGTGTGTCCTGAAACACCGGGTTTCTTCCAGAGAATGGGATGTTTTTAAAGTTAAGGATTAACATCAGAGGGCTCCCGCAGTTTTAAATTATCACCTGAACACATGCTACTTTTGAAATTCAGAACACACGTGGAGTACTTAGTAGAGGACTAGAAACACCTGTCTTGCTCAGGTGGTAAACAAGCTCTGAACTAAACTAAACCACTTTCTACATAATTTAGTTGTTATCTTGCCAAAATCTTGCGGAGATAATTTTTTTTTTTAAATCAGCTCATGTGCATCTCCCAGATCAGTTCACAGTGATGCACCTTCTATTTTCACAACTATGCACCATGTTTATTGGCATAATAGTGAAAACTCTCTGTCTCTCCTGTAGCTCTTTCTTAAAGTAAAGTTTAAAAGGTTACTCCGAATCATAAACCAATGTGCTTTTTTCTTTCCTGTTTTATTTTCCTGCCGTGCCTTAAAAAAGTCGCTTCTACAAT